ACCATTAGCAGCACTGTTAGCAGCACCATTAGCAGTACCGTTAGCAGTACCTTTAGCAGCACCGTTAGCAGCACTGTTAGCAGCACTGTTAGCAGCACCGTTAGCAGCACCGTTAGCAGCACCGTTAGCAGCACCATTAGCAGCACCGTTAGCAGCACTGTTGGCAGCACCGTTAGCAGCACCGTTAGTAGCACCATTAGCAGTACCCTTAGCAGCACTGTTAGCAGCACCGTTAGTAGCACCGTTAGCAGCACTGTTAGCAGCACTGTTAGCAGCACCATTAGCAGCACTGTTGGCAGCACCGTTAGCAGCACCGTTAGTAGCACCATTAGCAGTACTGTTAGCAGTACCGTTAGCAGCACCGTTAGCAGCACAGTTAGCAGCACCAATAGCAGTACCGTTAGCAGCACTGTTAGCAGCACTGTTAGCAGCACCGTTAGTAGCACCGTTAGCAGTACCCTTAGCAGCACCGTTAGCAGCACTGTTAGCGGCATTGTTAGCAGCACCATTAGCGGCACCGTTGGCAGCACCGTTAGCAGCACCGTTAGTGGCACCATTAGCAGTTCTGTTAGCAGCAATGTTAGCAGCACCGTTAGCAGCACCGTTAGCAGCACTGTTAGCAGCACTGTTAGCAGTACTGTTAGCAGCACCATTAGCAGCACCGTTAGCAGCCCTGTTAGCGGCACTGTTAGCAGCCCTGTTAGCAGCACCATTAGCAGCCCTGTTATTGGCCCTGTTAGTGGAACGTTAGCGGCACTGTTAGCATCCCTGTTAGCGGTACTGTTAGCGGTACTGTTAGCAGCCCTGTTAGCAGCCCTGTTACCGACCCCGTTAGTGGCACTGTTAGCATCCCTGTTAGCAGCCCTGTTATTGGCCCCGTTAGCGGCACTGTTAGCATCCCTGTTAGCAGCACTATTAGCATCCCTGTTATCAGCACCATTAGCATCCGTGTTATCAGCACCATTAACATCCCTGTTATCAGCACCATTAGCATCCCTGTTAGCAGCACCATTAGCATCCCTGTTAGCAGCACCATTAGCATCCCTGTTAGCGGCCCAGAGGACAGTGAGTTCATCAGTGAATCAGACCTTGAGTTCATCAAAGCGCAGCGTGAAGTGAAGGATCTCTGCGAACTGCTTGGCCAGCGCCTGCTCCCTCTCCAGGTGCTGGGTGGGGGTGAGGGGGGGGCATGTCAGGGACTCCAGCAGACTCTTCAGAGCATCTTCTGTTAGCAAACACAGAAATCAACCGACGTCTTTCAACAAGCAGATACTGCTGTGGGCTCTGAATCATTCTATAGTGGTTAAACATGTTAATGTTGACTGATGAGCTGAAAAATGTTTTGACGTCCGAGCATTTCGCCGCCTCCAGAGTTTTACAAGCTGGAGCCGTTGTGGTCAAATAGTGAAGAAACATTCTGCGTAATCTTTCAGTGCTCAGAGTGTGTGTTGAGGACGACTCTCAGCTACTACCACATCAAGTTTGAGCTCATATCTGTGAAACTGTTTGTATCATCCTGAACTGGGTTGACCCTAAAAGTTATTCAGATGTACAAACGATGATTGTTTAAAAAACTTAATTTAAAACTGTCTGGGGGTTTATAAGATATTTTCCTAACACTAATAACAGTCAAACAGGGTTGACAACAACAGCTGATGCCACAACTTGAAGCAGAGCTGCTTCACACCGTGCATCACTCAGAGTACTCTCAGCTACTACCACACCATATTTCATCTGTAAAATTGACTCTTCGCTGTTTTGTGTTTTCTAAAGTCAGCTGGCTGTGGCAGCCATCTTGAATCGAGTTGACTTCAAGAGTTAGACACTTGCAGATGTGAATCCAGTGATTAGCTTCTGATAGTTTCATTAAATTCTGTCCAGTACATGAGATATTTTACTAACAGACAGAAACATTACTGCCTGCCCTTTGTCTTTCAGAGATGGGTCATAAGGTTACATTTGACAGTTTAAAAAAAAAAAAAAAGCTAGAAGTTTAAGCTTGTTAAATTAGGATGAAGTTGTTAATGTTGCCTCAGAATGGTTTTATGGAGGTAAATAATTCATATTTCCCCCAGGGGCCTTTACTGGACGAGCAGAAAGACTCAAAGAGCTTAAATGATCTGCAGCAGCTTCAGCTGTAAATTTAACTGAGCAGCTACAAACAGCAACATATTTATCAACATGGTGACATCAGGCGATTCTAATTCATTCTTTCATTTGATAAAATCACAAAACTTTTAGAGGGACACGTTTCGTGCCGGATCGTTCAGGGCACAGTGACACACCGAGTCTGTTGGAGAAATCGTAGAACGTCTTTAGGTTGATGACGAGCGGGCAAACGGAGGTCCAGGCCCGCTCCTGCAGAGACAGCTCGTTGGGGTTCTGAATGGCCTGAAGAAGAAAAACAACCTTCATCATCATTTATACACAGCATGTGACATTCATTCAGAACTTCAGTGGTTCACTGTGTGTTCATTGTGTGTTCACTGTGTGTTCATTGTGTGTTCACTGTGTGTTCACTGT